TTCTTGAAACATCGAAAACTACAACCACCAGCCTCTGTTTTTCTTTCTTTTCTGTAAGCTACTAAACTCTGTATTCATCGTACAAGTATGTTTTGTTGCTTGAAATTAAAAATCAATAATAATAATAAAGAACAAAAGAAGAAAGTGAGCTAACCTGCAGACAAACCTTTGTCATAGCAACTTAAGGAAAGAAGGAAAAGACAGCATTTATGGGGCTGGCTTCCCCAATGGCGAGCCAAGGAGTGAAATAATTGACTTAAGGCGGATGGTAATTACACAACTGGTGATAGAGAGATTAACAGGGAAGAAAAACTGCTTTAATAGATCTCAGAAGAGCTCTAAACTGCTCTGAGTGAAGAGTTCTCCAGGGTTCCGTGTGTCCCCCCCCCCAAGGCAATAGAATCCCCTAGGGCTCCAAAGCGCCTTGGGAGAGGCTCTCACAAATTTTATGCTGAATAATAATAATAATAATCTAAGAGCAAGTTTGCTAAAGGCCACACGGTGGCGCCATCAAGCAGCTTCCTTCCTTCCTTCCCAGGATAAACTATCCTGTGTTCTGAGACTTCCAGCACTTTTGCTTGGTGAAATGTATATTCCCTCAGGGGCTCTGAAAGCTGCACCATTCTTTTCTGAACTGTTTTATGGGTTACCTCTTCCCATTCACGTCTTCTCACCACTGCTCTCCTCTCTCCCGCATTCAGCATCACAAAACAGCTCTATGGCCAAGTGCTAGAGCAATTATTAAGGCAATGGGTGTATTTTTGTGTGTGTGTTTTTAAAGAGAAGTGTATATTAGATTATGCTGAACAGCACCTGCAAACGAGAAACAAATGCTAACTTTCCTCTTCTGGGAGAGGGGGAGGGGAGGACTAGGTGCTAAATATAAGTGCCAGCATCCTGGGTGATGTGACCCATGCTTTGAAGAAGACGATAAACACTGGTGGTATTTTTAGCTGATGATTAATTAATGCAAATTAGTTTCTGGGAGTGGAAGAGAAGTGGAAGCAGCAACATGAGAACAAGAGAGGGAGCATGTGCTCAAGGGCATGCTGTGAAATGTGCCAAATTTCCTACAGACAATTGCTGGGAGGGGAGAGGAGCAGGCAGGGTGCGGCAGCTGAGACAGGGGTGAGGAATCTTTTTGGCTTACGTGGGGCAACTATGACAGGTGCGTAGGACCACCACCCCTGTCCATCATCTCATGCCATAATGAAGTACTGATAAGGACTGAGCGGAGAGTTCAGCCCTGCTCTCTGCAGTGGTCTGAGCAGGATTTAACCAGTTGAAAGGTGGAGATGAAGCCTGCTATTTTGGCTGTGCACACCAGTTCCCTGATCACCCCATCCGCTAATCTCACCCACTTATCGAAGGGATGCTACTCGATTGACAGTTGGGCATGGGTTTAGAAAAATGGCTTTACGGGCCAAATTTAGATGTCCTGGGTACCAAGACTGGCCCATGACCAGAGGTTCCCCACTCCTCCTCTACTTGTGAAGATAAAGACTAAATCACACAGGTGATATTCAGACTTGTTGCTCCAAATTCAATGCGCCCATCCCTTATCTTCCTAAGGCCCACCATATTTATTGATCATTCATCCTGATTTCCTGGAACAAAACGTAGGCAGAGGTTAGATTATATTTAGACATTACTGAGCAGTTGTTCTGATTTGTTCACAGAGTAGTCATATGGGCATTCCTTCTGATTTTCTTGTGGAGCATTGGCACACTTTTCATCCCTGTCACTTTCCAAACTGCAAAAGTCCTTTAGAAAAAGTGGCTTTGTTTCAGCAAGACAACAGAGGCCTTTAATCCACTTTAACTGCACAAACCTAACAGTCCAGAATGCACTAGACTCCCTCCTACAAAACACTGATAATCTGGAGGCAACCTTAAATGCTATTATGAGGGCTGCTCTGGTTAATTGGGCTCGTTTGTTCATATGGAATTTTAATTCAAATATCTACAAAGATGGTAGGTGCCAAAACACTGTCTTAAAAAAGAGATCTCCCTTTTTCTTGCACACAACAAAGTAAGTCCTTCTGAGATATGCCTGATGGCACATACATACGTATCTAGAAATAAAAAGGCTGCTTTCCCCCCACTTTGGAATGTTTGATTTACAAATATGCAAGTTTAATTGATAGGCCGGCCCTACCATGAATCAGAATAATTCATCTGCCTCAGGTGGCAAATGCTGAGAGTCAAGGAGTGGACAGACCTGTGTGTGCCTCCCTTCACCCGCTAAACTAGCCTACTGCTCTCAGGTGCAGCAGACAACATGGTCCTATTGCTAAGGAGAGTTTCAGGGGCTAATATGACTGGATTTGGTATGTGCAGTGGAGAGGCTTGCTGATACCTTGCCCTTCACTTCAGGTAGCAAAATGTCTTGGACCAGCCCCTGTTAAAATTAATTGGGTTGGTTGAGCCACCCCAGTCTCATCTCACCATCTCACAAGAACAAAAGGAGAGCCCTTCTGGATCAGACCAGAATAGTTCCACATCTATTCCAGCTTTTCACAGGGGCAAAACAGAGGCTTCTGGGAAACCCGCAAGCAGGACCTGAATGTAACAGCCTTCTCCCCTCCTGCAAGTAGAGTAGGGCCAACCCAATCCAGAAATTTATCTCATCACCTTTCAAAACAATTTTTTTTTTGTATATACAATTGTTTCCATTGAAAGATTTTCCACGGATAACAAAGGTACATCTAACTTCTCTGCTTTCAGTTCATAGAGTCCTGTCTATAGGTCAGTTACATTTGGTGTTGAGACACTGGTGTGAGACGTTGGGAAGATGTGGGGAGAAAGAGGTGGGGAGGGGAAGAGGTGGTGGTAATTATTTTTCCTTCTTCTGCATTGTGCATGCGAGGGGTTCTTTGGCTGATGGGAGCCAAAACATCAGTTGAGGAAGGCTGAACTAGATGGACCTAGCAGGGGTCTTATTACTCCCTTAGGCCACCTTGTGTCCCTTCCAGTGTCTCCTCCAAGGTTTGCACTGGGTGGCACAGCTGTAGCATTTGGGTTTGCAATGCTTGCTTGTGTCGCAAGCTTGAAGGTCTGCTGGAATCCGAAAGGACGGAAAGCTTGAAAGAAAAAACCTTTTCTCCCTTTGCTTCTGTGGGTCTCTGTCACCAGAGCTGTGTTTCCCATAAGGCTTAGTGATGCATCGCGCCAGGGCGCCAGCCCCTCAGGGGCGCCCCAGCAAGTGGGGGAGCTGCGCGGCTTTGCTGGCAGCCTCCCCTTTCCCTGCACACCTGCCAGCTGCACCCCGCCAACCATAAGGCTGGTGGGTGTGCAGCTTCCCTCCCAAGCATCTGCGGGGATCGCTCTCCTCCCAAGGAGGCTTAGGAGGGGTGCAACTTCACTCCTAAGCCTCTGCGAGGATCACTCTCCCGCAGTGGCATGGGGGAGAGTTGCGTCCCCCCTGGATGGCTGGCAGTGTGCAGCTACGGCCACCCCAACACTATCCATGGTAATTTGGGGGTGCTGGGCGTATATTTGCACCCCAGCACCACATCTGCTAAAGACAGCCCTGTCAGTTGCCTTAATTGGGTGTCACTACTGTATTTACTGTGTAAGTATTCCTGTATCTGGCGCTGGATGTGCCCCTTCACTATCGATCCTCATCCTGCATTTCTCCTGGCGAGCAGACCTTTCGATTTCTACTCCATATTAACAAAACAAAAACAAAAAAGTTAAAAACAATTGCATATAAAATGGTTAAGAATAATTGCATAATAAGGTAGAATCATAGACTCATGGGTCGGAAGGAATCCTGAGGGCCATCTAGTCCTACCCCCTGCAATGCAGGAATCTTTTGCTGACTGTGGGGCTTGAACCCAGGACCCTGTCATGAAGAGTCTTTTGCTCTACCAGCTGAGCATTGCATGGCAATAAAATATATTAAATATATTAAAACAATTAAAGCACAACTCTAAATATTAAAAAAAAGTTTAAAACATCAGCACATACTTAAAATCAATTCAGAGCCAAGACAGATAGCAACTGAGATTTTAGAAGGCTTGTTGGAAGAGGAATGTCTTTAGCAGGCATGGAAAAGTCAACATGGAAGGCACTTTGCCTCTATGGACAGCATTCACATTTCACATTATTATCCCTGTTGTTATTGTATAGCCAGCCCCCTCCTCCAAGGAACTCAAGGGGGTGTGCACATGGGTCCCCTCCCACTGCCCATTTTCCCCTAAGAACAACCTTGTGTGGGCAGGTTAGGCTGAGAGGCAGTCCCTGGCCCAAGGTCACCCAATGAGCTTCATGATGGCTAAGTGGCGAGCGACCAACACTCTTAACCATCCTGGCTCTCTCCCTTCCTCTCTGTGGCAGAGGAGGAACAGGTAGAAGTAGGAAAGCATATTTGAGCCTGCAATCCTTGCAGCTGGCTAGAGAGCAGTAGATCATCCCCAGCTCCGCGCAACGCGGAAAGCCTGCAAGGCGCACGGCAAACTAGCGTTTGCCTTATTCCAACACGCTTCTCCAAAGTCCCCATTTTTACGCGCGGCTCAAGGATAGGAAAGGAGGGCACAGCCGCGCTGTCCCAGAAGGGCAGCCCCAGGAGGCGCCCTCTGAGGTGGGAGGGTTTCCCGACTTATTCGACGCTCCTGGAAACAGGGGCGTGAGCGTCTGTGTGCGTTTTTGTCTTTTTTTGCCAGCCCGCGAGAGACAAAAGCGCAGCGTTTGGGTACCTCCTTCCCGGCGCTTCGGGAAAGGCAGGTGACGAGAGAAACGCCCGCCTCCATGCTACCCCGCGCAGTTTGAGACGCTTACCGAGAGAAGGGGAAGGCACAAAGGGGGAGGACCCGTCGCTCTTTCCAGGCGAGCTAAACTTTTGGAGTTGGGAACCGGGCGGCTCAGGCTCTGCGGGCGCGCCCCGGGCGGGCAGTCAGGCGCGGGTGATTCTTTGCCGATGGGGTGGGAGTCCCGGGGAGGGCTTTCCCTTGCTCGGGACCTGCACGGCGGCGGCTGCGGCGCCGGAGCTGCGGGGAGATGCTGGACAACAACGCGAGCTGCCCGGAATGCCGCTTCCACCCTGAGGCGCGCCACTCCCTGGCGGCCGTGCTCATCTTCACGATCGTCGTGGACATCCTGGGGAACGTCTTGGTGATCATGTCCGTGCTGAGGAACCGCAAGCTCCGCAACGCCGGTGAGTTTTGGCCCGTGGGAAGGAAGGGAGAGCCTTGGCTCCGGCCCGCTGATTAAGGGGCCTCTTGCTAGGACAGGGAGGGATTATGCGGGAACCAGCACTTCGAAGGGCAGCACGTGGTAAGGTGCCGGAGGGCGCGGGCCGTCTGTGTGGCCCTGTTAGCGCAAATGCCCCCTGCATTTCTGACCGCCAGCTGTACAAAAGTATGGTAAGTGTCTCATCTCTTGGTAAGACGATAATGTACATCAAGGGGAGACAGGTCATAGTGGTTTACTGCATGTTTACTGCAGGAGTTGGCTTTCAAAGTGTTTAAAGTCATCCACACCTACTTGACTTTATAATCCTTGACAGCAATTCTGTAAGGCAGCCCAGGTTTATTATCCTCTACTCCTATATTACGGGATGGGGCGGGGCGGGGAAGAGAGTTGAAGCTCAGAGTAAGGTTACCAGATTTCCCCCCCAATGAATCCGGGGACACTTTTCAACCTCAGTGGATTTTGTATGGGGGCTGATTTGCAAATCCGGGGACTGTCCCCGAGAAACGGGGACGTCTGGTAACCTTAGCTCAGAGGGAATTTCCTATCGAAGAGCACCTCGTGTGTTTTATGATACAGCCGGTTTTCAAACCAAGGACTTCCGAAAAACCCATAGCTGACAGCGCATGCCTATAGAGAAGTAATTCCCACTTTATTCAATGGGGGGGGGGGTGCCTGAGCCCTAGGAAGCGCATTTACGATTGCTCAAGGTTACAGGCACGTTTACTCAGAAGAAAACCCCACCGAGCCTGACAGGGCTCTGCTTTCGCGTACGGGTGTATTAGAACACCCAGCTACTTCCCTCGAGGAATCCCGAGCATTGCAGTTTACTCCTCACGGAGTTACAGTTCCCAGCAGCCTTTCACAAACTACCGTGTCCAGGATTATTTGAGGGAAAGAACGTGACTTAAAGGTATAGGAGGGTGCATGCAACATCCCCGTGCAAACAAGACGAAAGAAGCACACTATGCTGCTGCTGGAGCAGCAGCTATCAGTCTTAAATTGCCATTTGTCTATAGAGACCCCTCCTTTTAGCTTGGCCTGGAAGTTTGCCCTCCTTCTTGGAGTACTCAGTGCTAACCACACAAAAAAGATGCGCGTCCCGTTCCAGGAAGGGTCATAGCTCAGTCCTGGAGCACCTGCTTTACCTGCAGAAGGTCCCAGGTTCAATCCCTGGCATCTCCAGGTAGGGCTCAGAGAGATTCCTGTTTGAAACCCTGGGGAGCTTCTGCCAGTCAGTGTAGACAACATTAAGCTAGATGGACCAATGATCTGACTTGGTAAGGCAGTTTTCTATGTTCCTTATGTTCCACTGTGGGGCTTCTTTGAGTGTGCATGTTCCAGTTCCTCCTTTCCCTTTATTGTTGCCTTCTTTGTTCCCAAAAGAAAGTAGGGAGGAAGCACCTTTCACTTAGGGCATCACTGTAAATTAGCCCACAAAAGTTTCCACCCCACCCCCAATTGCGAACCTTTTGGCAGAGGAGGGACACAGAGCTGCAGAATTGGAAGGAACCTCAGAGGTCCTCTAGTCCAACCCCCAGCCTGTGCAAGCAATCTACAGCTGATAGGGAAAGTGATTTCGGCTGCACTCCCACACACACTTCCTTGGCAGTACATCTCATGAACTCAGTGGAATTTATTCCTCACTGTATATGTATAAGATTGTGCAGTTCCAGTTCATGCCCCTGAGTTTGTGCAGAACGTTTCCCTCATTGTCTGGACTACCATTAGGAAAACAAGTCTTCAGAGGAGGAGGAGAGAAACCTCTGTGTGCCCAGCCATCATTTCTGGTTTTTAGAAATAAAATCCTGCCTGCATGTAGGGTGAGAGCTGAAAAAAGGGCTTTTTAGAAGAAGATTTAGGCTCAGCACAGTCTAAGGACCCTGGATCTATAGGAAATGTAATAGCCGGAACGCACAAGCATGAATTGCAGAGACAGTGCAATGCAGAGAAACGTTTCCTGGCGTGTGTGCAATGCATCTGATCAGATCTTTAGACAGGGATGAGATCCCTAAGAGGGAACCAGAGTCTCTCAACTCCAACTTTCCTCCAATAATAAATTGACCATGAGATTGCTTTGAGGATGGCAAATCGGAGTGGGTGTGAAAGGGAACTTGTCGACAACAGCTTTAAAGTCTCTGTCTGGGTGCAGATGTGTGAGGGAAAACCAGACTGATGGCAAATACCAAGAATGTTAATTTATTTCATTCATTTTTCTGTCTGTATTTATTTGATTTAACTAAGCTTAAGTACAGATGATTGAAATAATTTGCATATTCTTCCTCTGTTCATGCCGTCTAAACTTTCTTCCTTCTTGTGTTGAATTACAGATTGAAACGCCTGCGTGTATGTTGTAAAATGCCACACACATATGTCTGGCAGAATAAAACAACACTTTTACTCAAACTGACACTGGGGAGAAAGAAACAACAACACCAAAATTAAACAATAAGAGTGAAATAAACAATTAAAACACAGACATGAAGAGCTTGGAAAGCTCTGCCTTAGGAGACCATTTTAAAGGCTTATGGATCACACTAAGCAAGCCAGTTTGTCTTACTTTGTCTCTGGGATGGGGAAGTCTCAGCCTGAGGGCCAAATACTCCTCATCTCATCATGTGGCCCTTGTGATTCTTCCCAGGTCACAAACCCTCCAGAACCAGACCCATTATCAGCCCTCACTCTCCTGGAGTAGTTTCCCCCCCTCCCCCGATACAGTGGTTAAGAACTTAATTTGCTCCGGAGGTCCGTTCTTAACCTGAAACTGTTCTTAACCTGAGCTACCACTTTAGGCAATGGGGCCTCCTGCTGCCGCCACATGATTTCTGTTCTCATCCTGAGGTAAAGTTCTTAACCTGAGGTACTATTTCTGGGTTAGCGGAGTCTGTAACCTGAAGCGTATGTGTCAAGGCTGCCTCAGGTCTCAGCTCACAAAAGACCAACCCCAATCTCTTCTTATATTCAAAAGTGTTTATTGCAGTTCATTGTTTGCTTCATATCCGAGGCGCGCAGCCTCACGTCTGTACGCTTAGACCGTTGAAGTCCCCTCTGAGTCAGTCCCTCCCCTGCACCAGTTTAAGAGCCTTGCGCTGCTCCACCTCTTTCTCTCTTTCCTTTTCCTCAGGGTCTTCCTGCCCGCTGGGGTTTCGCCCTCCAGGAGTCCCCTGACGCGCTATCCCCCGACTGCTCTTCCCCCTCCTGCGGGCTTTAGGACCTGGCCCTTCCTCCGGGCTCCCTGTACTTCCGCGCGCCTCTACATTTGAACTTGCGCGCGCGCCCAACCTCTAACTTTCCTTTTGACAGTTACACTACTCCCTTCACTACTCCCTCCTTCCGGGAGGGTGGCTTGCTCTGATCTCCCTCCCTTCTCTGCTGCCGGAGCTGCTTCCCTGATACACTGGAAACTCCACCCCTTCGCTGCACTCTGGTGGGGAGGCTGGTCCTGACGCCCAGCTGCCACTTTGGGATCCCCCGCTGGCCCCCTGTTCCTGACACGTCCCCCTGGGGCTCCCTGGCCTTGACCACTGGCGCCCCTTCTGGGAATCCTCTGATTCGCTGGAAAGACTCATGGAATCTCTTGAGTCATTGTCATCCTCTTCCTCGCTGTCCTGGGATTCATCCCCATCGCTCTCCATCTCCTCCCTATCCTGTGCCTCTGTCCCTGAACCCCTGACAGTATGTAACCTGAAGCGTATGTAACCCGAGGTACCACTGTAATGAGTTGTACGTACCTGGGTGGAGGATAAAAAGGTGTGTGCTTGTAGAAACCTAACCAACTGTACAAAGGTAAATTTTGCATTGATTCCTCTGCCCACTTTTGCCTTCTCCTGGCACGCTGGCTGGAGGGGAATGTGCTCTTCAATCTGAAAAGGTTCCTACCCTTGTTCTGTCCCGTTTGCTTTCAGTTCTCAAGGCTTCAGGAAGAGCCTCATTTGGGCAGCGTGGCAGTGTCAGCCACCAAGGTCCTTCTCACAGTAAACCCCTAAGTAATTTGAAGAAGGGACGTGGGTGGCGCCGTGGGTAAAACCTCAGCGCCTAGGACCCGCCGATCGTATGGTCGGCGGTTCAAATCCCTGTGGCGGGGTGAGCTCCCATCTTTCGGTCCCAGTTCCTGCCCACCTAGCAGTTCGAAAGCACCCCTAAGTGCAAGTAGATAAATAGGTACCGCTTTATAGCGGGAAGGTAAACGGCGTTTCCGTGTGCTGCGCTGGTGCTGGCTCGCCATAGCAGCTTCGTCACACTGGCCACGTGACCTGGAAGTGTCTCTGGACAGCGCTGGCCCCTGGCCTCTTAAATGAGATGGGCGCACAACCCTAGAGTCGGACACGACTGGCCCGTACGGGCAGGGGTACCTTTACCTTTACCTTTTATATTACCTTTACCTTAATTTGAAGAAAGGCCCATAGCTAACCAAGGAAACTTGTGTGTGCAGCATGCCCGTGTTTCTAATACACAGCTGAGCATCTCAGCACTGGAGAGTAGGACCCATTCTGCTAAGAAGGTGTGCCTAAGGTTGAAATCTCCTGGAAGCTTCGTGTTTTAAATCACCGGGAAGCAGTAAAGAGCACGGGGCAGAGACAGGGAGAGAGAGAGAAAAAAAACCAGACATCAAGTGAAAGCAAAAAAAAAACAAGGGGGGGGGGGAGAATTTTAGGGAGTTGATCTTTGGGTTTATTAAATGTTTCACTGAGTTGAGGAGCCTCAATGTGATGAAATGGGAACTTTACTTCTCCGCAGAGACACTGAAGGAGGAAGGAGGGTGCGGTGGGGGCAGTTCGCCCTGGGTGTCATCCATGAGGGGGGTGGTGACAGTGCCCCCCTGCCCCCTGGGATGCTTGCCCTGTCCCTGCGGGCAGCTAGCGCCACCCCCCAGTGTACAGCATGTGCGCCACTCCAGGTGCCGGAGCAGCTAGCTCCGCCTCTGCGCAGAAAGCCCTCACTTGTTATCTTGCTCCAGCGACTCCTCCTAGCCAGCATTTATTTCTTATGGCAAAGGACTAGCTTGTGGCAAAATTGTGTTTTTCTTCTCTTCAGCACCCTCTCTCTCCTTTCTCCTTTTTTTAAAAAAAAAATATATAACAGAGCATATGGAAGGCTGCAATTGTCCCATTTGTACACCCAATAATGAGGCACTCCTCTCCAGTTTAAGAACCCTTTGGAGAGGTATATAATCAGCTCACTTCTTAGGAGCAGGTTTGGGATTTCAGACTGAAGTGCCAGTGTACCTTATCCTTCCTCAAGGGCAATTACAAAGTTCACATTGCTTTGTAGACTTTGAAAGGCACTGTCTCTAATTGCTTCGTATAGTTTTGTTTCCTGGGAACTTTATATGTGAAACTTTTTGAAGTTGGGTAAGTGTGAGGGGTTTCTTTCTTTCTTTCTTTCTTTCTTTCTTTCTTTTACTGCAGCAAAAGACAATTGTGCAAAACAGAGCAGGAGGTGCGGACCTTAATTCCCTGTGTATATAACATTGCTATTATTTATTACATTTGTTGGGAGCATTTTGCAAAAAAGAATAGTAAAAAAGAAGTCTTTAACTGAACAGTGGATAAAAAAAAAATTAAAGCCAGAAAATTTAAAACAAGGTATAGTAACATAATAATGACAAGTCTTAATCCATCCCACCCAACGGGGGGAAGGGGGCAGCTCCCCCTTAGATCAAGTAAAACAATGGAAATATTTAACTAGCTAACCAATCACATCGGTTCTGCTCCCCCGCCCCCCGCAATCAAGTCCTTCTCCCCCTAACAAAAATCCTGTCTATGCCCATGACTGCCATAGAGGTATCTGTGCTATACATTTGAAGCAGTGTCACTCCCCTTTTGACCATGGTGGCTTCCACAAATAATCCTGGGAAGTAAAGCTTGTTAAGGGTGCTGAGAGTTGTTAGGAGATCTAACAACTGGCTGTTCTCCTCACAGAGGTTCAGAATCCCCAGAGTTGCCTAAAAAGAGGGATTGATTGTTGCACCACTCAGAATCTTAGCTCTCTCTAAGTGCTGTTACAAGCTACAGTTCCCAGGTTTCTCTGGTGGAAGCCATGACTGTTTAAAGTGGTATGTCACTGCTTTAAATAATGTAGATGGGGCCTTAGTTACCAAAGGCTTGAATGAAGGAAAAAGTCTTAGCCTAGTGCCTAAAACCCTGATAATGGTAATGGCAGGCGTGTTTCCCTGGGAAGAGTAT